ATCCTTCCTATTCACCTCTTTCTACATCAACCCACCATGTTCTCAGACAGTGGTTTGGTTTAAGAACCAGACCATGAATCAAGTGAAAAAAACCAGGCTGTTTGATATTATGATCTATACAATATACTACGCTATACTACGATACCTTGCAGTGGCCGTATAGTAGCCCATGAGGCCCAGCCGAGGCATGATTAGTGTAGTTGAAAACTTATCCCTAGGATTTAGCATTGTTCCAACTAGAGAATGAACCTGAGCAGGCTGTCTGCTCAGACTGTGGTTCTTCAGCTGTTTCCTGGTCTCTCATTATATTATGTCTTGGAAACTAAGTGAAATAACATTAGGCCAGGACTCTGCTCTAAGCATCATATTGAGAAGGGACTACAAAGGAGCACTGCTAATGCAGATGTTAAAATAAAGAGCTGGAATCAAGGAACTGTTCTTAAAATGAAGTTTCAGAGGATATAGAAGGGTGAGAAGGAAAGGTAGAGTTAATGCAGAACTGGAAACATATTGTACCATTTCACGTGTTGAAAAGGCGGATGGTGGCACTAATTGCACTGGGATGAAGCCTGGAGATGGGGCTGGGCGATTGGCAGCAAGTGCAAAATCAGGGAAGGCAATGAAACTGCAGTGGTTTGTTTAAAGAGAAACAGTAGACAAGGTAGCACCCCTTCCAAATCAGATATACAAATCAAAAGTAAACTTAGGACAGAGTTTCTTGAACTTTCTCCAGAAATCTGCATTGCTTGATAATGCAGCACGATGCTATTAGCTTGCTCTTGTGAATGTGAGGGTCTTTGATTCAGCTTGCTGGAAGAACGGGGCCTTGCTGAGTTAGAATGAGCATCATGTACCTAAGCCCCATGAATTGCCAACCTTTCAGCCTCCACATCAACACCACTGGAAAAGGAACATCTCTTACTCTAAAGTGAGATTTAAGATCAAAAGATTAACTGAAAAATGGAACAGAAATCTCCCCTGCTCTTTCCCTTCCCACGCCCAACTCTGTGGCTGGTATCACTGCCTTATGACAGGAAAACTATGTGTTTAGTTCAGCAACTGGAAGTTTTCATAGGCTGGGAGCCCTTTTCCCTGGGAATAACTATGAAATGCAGTTGAAAACCTGGTTCTGGATCACAAATGGCATCTGTATCGCCGCAAGAGGCAGCCACTTTGGTCAAAGGTGATACTTTGTGAGCCTTTGGCAGCATGGCAGTACCGGGTAGGAAACTATAAGCCAGTTTGCAACTTGCTTAAACATGTTTCAAAAGAATTGCCAGACGCGTTTAATATTGATCTTTTACTGTGATACACAAAGGCACATCCACCCTGTCTTAATAAGCCAGTAGGAGCCTCCGATTTGTTTTGCAGCTTACTGCCTGCGAAAAACACTTTTTACCTTTTGAACTTACACACTGATGGGCTGAGCGACCTAGGCGACCTTGTTATAAAATAGCGTGGATAAACAAATCTGAAACTCTTCTCATCCCCAGAACGTTCCCGTAGGTTATTTAGACCCAGTTAAAACACGAGGGTGGCTTGGGTGTTTGTTTATATATGACATCACAGACGCTCGTGACAAAATCATTATCAAGGCTTCAGGGTTCAAGACATCCCTCTTGCCTTGCTGAGTCCAAACCCCATCAAACCTGAAATGGTTTCAACTGCTTCTGGGAGTCATGTTCTACTGAACATTATCTGGCTATATCTATTGAGCTTGCTATCCAAAAAACACACAGCTGGATAGCCGGGTTGCTCTTATGTCTTCAGCTCAATGCCAAGAACATCCTTCAGGGAAAAAATGAGCGAGGTTTAAAACAAAACAACAAAAAAGCCGCCCTGGAGCACACCCAAGAGTCCAAACATGAGGAAGTTTATGTGACCTCTGGAAAGATGTCCTCCACTAAGGAATCCTCAGCTGGCAGCAATCAGCCTGGATGTTTTAAATGTCAGGAACACTCAACTCCCGACACCAAGCTCTCCATGAGGCCATTTAACACCACTGACTCCCTATGGTGGAGTAAAAATGAGCTGTACGTCTCCCTGAGGGCTCCAGCTCTGCTTATCAAATGCTGTGGGGTAAAGACATCAAATTACGAAGCTGTCAACCTTTCTTGAACTGAACCTACTGCCAGACTCCACCACGGGACGGCTCCTTTACAGAGCTCTTCCCTTCTCCCTGGCCCCCGCTCACCCGGCTTTCCATCCTCTTTCTCTCTCCTCACGCCCTTCTCTTCCCCAATATCAAGCAGTAAAATACCTCACTAGAATCACCCCCATAAGTTACCTGACAGCAGCAAATATGGATAAATCAGTCTGTTTTCAGGTGGGCCCTTTTTGGACAGAAAACCTTTATGAAGACAGAGGAGCTCACTTTGCCATTCCTAGGAAAAGTGAGAATTCACAGGAATGGGGAGGAGGTGTCCCAAGTAGACCCGCTCTGACTTCACCCTCTGGACTTGCATGCTCCTCAGACCAAATTCACCCATTTCAGATTTCAATTCCTTTTATCCCTTACAAGTGTCCTTCTTCTATGATCCATTTGTTCTGCATCCAGTTAGGAGCAGCTCATGTTCCCAATATAAACTAGATTTTAAACCATTCAAAGTGATGCCACCCACACCTCTAAGTGCATTTACACACTGCATAAGACACACTGAGATCCGTGTACACAGCGAGTCATTCTGCT